GGACGTGACAGATAGTACTGGTGCCCACCAGGCCTTGCTGTTCTGTCATACTGGTTGCTTGGGCTCCAGAAATATTCTGTTTTGTCACCTTCTTGCTGAAGTGAAGATGGCTTTGTTCAGCTGCTCTCTGTTCAGCTAAATGTGCAAGATCAAATACCACACAGTTGGAGCGACCTCATCCTGACTTAGAGTGTGCACAGAATTGATGGCATGATTAAAGGGACATCAGTGGAAGATTAAGGCAGAATCCTTGGTATCTAGGTCCCGTGATTAGAGCAGGATAATGAAGCAGCAATAAGTGAGTGAGCAGTAGATCAAGCTCCTGCACAGCCCAAGCAGCTGCACACTGCCAGGGCAGCAGCAGAAGAAGAGTAATTTGCCCGCCATGTCTGTGATTGTTTTAGTTCCCAGTTTCTCCTGCAAAATGCTCACGGACCAAATTTATTTTATCTTTGTCGTGGTGAGATCAGAGTGCTGGTGGACTAGAGCTGCAAAAGGGATTTAAGTTGCTTGCTGAGTAAAATCTGAAGCTATGTTGAGCTGCACTTCCATAGCAGTGTCTGTGCTCTGCTGTTGTGTCATGGATCTGAGCTTCCTGGAGAAATGAGAAGACCAAGGCAATTAGTTCTCCATTATTCTAGGAATGAAGTACTTAGGTTTTTTATCCTCAGGTAGAAGATGTTTGTTTTATGATGCTTGTCTACATTTCTCAGATGACAAGACACAAAGTAGCTCAGTATGATTGAGAAAAGGACAAGTTTGCTTTAAGTTTCACAATTATTATGCTTACACTTTGTGATACAGGCATGAAATAACAATTGCTTAAGCATAAAGGTTTTTTTATGCTTTGTTTCAATATACACATCTAATCCTATAGTTTGAGGAGTACTCTGCACAATACTCTTAAGCTGTGTTAACTCTTTTTCTGAATGTCAATGAAGTTTAACATGTCTAGCTGAACCAAACTCGTGTGTGTGCTCCTGGGTGTGCTTCATTTGTACTGCAGCTGCACCAGCACTGACACAGGGCACTTTGACTTTTTGCCCAGTACTTATGTAAGGAGTCAGTATAAAAAAAAATGGGTTTATGAAACTTGATCTGTACATCTTGTATTTGCTGCCCAAAGCTATTAATTGATGCTCAGAGAGAATGAACAGCTCAAAACACTTGCTAGCTTTTGGGAAATAAGCATAAACCTGGGAGGAATGTCTTGAAAATTTTTAAGATTAGTGTTGCTCTTAATTTTTGTCTTAATTTTTTTTTTTGTTAAGAATGTGGCAAATAAAGTGGCATTTTATGAAAAATCAAATGTTTTTTTCTATAAAAGGGTATAATCTTTTAATATAGCAATAAGTTAGGGATCACAGTAAGTCCAACTGTTTGCTCATTGGTAGAAGAATAAGCAGTAGTAACCAAACACAATGAGGAGCTATCTCTTTTTTTTTTTTCCTTATTTTTCTTTACTGCCCCTTCCAGGTTACTTTTTTTGCATTTTGTCAGAGATTGCTGCATTTTTAGTAGGAAATAGACAATTAAAACCAGGATTTTTAAACCAAACAAAATTGGCAGCCAGACTAAGGGTCAGGTAAAGCTTTTTTTAAGCTCTGGAAGAGATCTATAGTATCAATATCTATTTTATCAGGAAGTGTGGTGTCCTTTGGCCTGATGGATATATATTGCTTGCTCAGCTATTGCACAGAGATGCTGTGTTTTTCCAAGTGGATAGTTAGCAGTTATCCTGGTCATGGAGCAGAGACAGTGTTTGCTGGGATGCCATCTCTCTTTCCACAGCTGTCTCACTCTGTGCAGCCCTTCTCCACAGTGTCACAATCCTGTTGTATAAATGCAAAGGTGTTTAAGGAAGAGTTTATCTGTTAAAGTTTAGTGTTGAACACAGCTGTCAGTTTAGATCAGATTCTTTCCAGTGCTGTGGCATCAAGGAAGACTTTATGGTTCTTTGTCCAAAGCCAAAACTTACATTTTTCTGATATTTAAAAAACAAAATAAACCAACAACAAAAAAATCAACATAAAAACCCAAGCAACAACAATAAAACCCATCCGTCCCCTAAATGTTAGAGTTTAGAATCATCATACACAGATGCTTAAATGGAACTTTGATCTGCTATGTAAGCAATCATGACATTAAAAAACTGTTTTCCTCTCAAGGGTTATGTGAAGGGAAGGGATGTGAGTGCCAGCCTTTAAAATTTGAACAGTGAACACCTGGAGATACTTATATTTTTAAATGTTTTCGGGCTGAGACAGAATTAATGACAAATGGGAACTATGTTAAATTGGCAGAAGATTAGTAGAATTTATTATTGTAATATGCTTAGCATGAAAAGCATGGTGGTCTTGATTATTCCGTGACAGTTTTTGTAGTAATTTTTCCAGTAAAAACTGTGTCAGTCTGTCTGTAACTGTATTCATTAGATCAAATATGCAATTCTTAACACGTCTGGTTTCAAAAATAATATTAGCTTTCTCTGTTAAGATGAGACTTCAGTGCTCTTCACATGGTTTGCAAAACAGTTCTTAAGTTTCATTTAAAACCATGAATGTTATAAAAAGACTGAAACATTTAATATAAGCAAATTGTAGTAGCAGCCCTACCTCAATTTGTTTGTATGTCAACAAAAAAATAGGTCTAGGCAGGTTATGAAAAATGAGCTGAAAATTCTTCTTGTTTTGTTGATAGACAACATAAGTCATGGTTATGCACAGAAGCGGTGAAGATTTCACAGCCCTGCAGCATTACAATATCTCTTTCAGAAATTGTCCCAGAATTCTAGAAAAAGTTAATTTGATGGGTTTTTTTCTGGGTGTGTGTGTCTGTATATGGAAATCCTCTCTGACAGGTAGACTGTAAATTTGTGTGTGATCAGCCATTAGCATTTGCTCTCTTAGTGTTTTTGGTTTTTTTTGTTATCACCAGTTTAACTTTCTGTTAAACTCACTTGGTTGAGCCTGGTACTGTTGAACATTTATGCAAATAGCAGTAGCATCTCAGTTTGCAGTTGCCAGAAGAGAAATACTCCTATCATCCAGATAAACAGCTGAGATTACTATTTTGTCTAGTTTCTTCCTAACTGGTGGCATGCAAGGAGGTTGTCAGTTTTATTCTAGTCCCTTCTTCTCATCTAGGTTTTTCTCAAGAAAGTAATATGCTCACTTCCTTCAGAAAGACAACGTCATCATAACAAACTCCCAAGGATTGCATTAGTCATCCACTGGCTTATTGGAGATTATTTGTGACTGTCATAAGCACTTGGATTTTGAATTTTCTAAATATACAGAATGGGGAAGAGTATTGAGTAATGTTTCTCATTATCTCACAGGGTGTAGCATCACTGAACTCTAAAGTCCTGAAATAGTAACAGAGCTGCTCAGGGATTCTTGCCGTTGCTATAAAAAGCCATTTGGCAATAAGCACTGCGTCATACTAGCAGCACAGGCATTTACTAGAGCATAAATGTGCTAAAATATTTCATTTACAGACTCTTCAGTGGCAGCTGGTTCTAGAAAGCTAAGTGGATGATTTTGATAACTAATTGTTTTAAATACTACAATTTTAAAGCAGTTGTTCCTTGAGATGAATGATAAATTATTGAATTTGTTTGGTATTTTTAGCGGGCATTTCACACTTGACTTCTCCACTTCTTGGTAATTACCAATCCAGAAGCGATGAGTATTTTGTAAAATTTTGCAGAAGATTTATTAGGTAGTTTGCACCAATTGTTGCAGTTAAAGAGAGAAACACACAGTTTCTTTCTTAGTCCAAGCTCTATATTCATTCATTACTTTTATTTTTCTAAGCCAATGAACACATTTCAAGTGCTACTTCCAAATAGGTCATAGAAGCAGAACACAGATGTACTAATTTACATTTCCCAGAGCATTACAGGCTTCTGCACAGGTTGACTGGACTTGGCTGTCACTCTTGGCTCTATTTGTAGCCTGCTGCTTCCACAGTTCACTCAAGTCAAAATGTGTAAGGTGATCCTGAGATTGATCGGTGGTGGATTTGGGCACCTCTAACAATACTTGGCTGCAAAAGAGGTGTTACCACTGCCTTTGCACTCCCCTGACAGATCTCTTTCTTGTGTCTCTTAGATCTGTGGTTTTCATTTACTTGATTGCCAGAAGTGTCTCTAAGTAGTTGTTGGTGACACAGATCCTCGAGGAATCACAGGTGTCCATGTGTCAGTGAGCACACTGACATTACCTGTCTGTGGAGGCAGAGCTGGAAGCTGCCAGGTGTTTTGAGAATCCGTGGTTCTAAAGAACTACCTGTAAAATAATAGACTGTTTTACCTGAAATGGTGCTAGCAACCTAGAAGTTTTCATGGTTTGGTGTTAATTAAAAATCATGTCCATTGATAGAATCTGACCTCTCTAAATTCAGATACTCAGGTTTCTGTAGTTTTTGGTGGTGCTGCTGCTAAATAGAAACGAGAGGAAAAACCCAACCAAACAAAAACCAAGAATGCTCAAAAAACCCAGTGTAGGTCAATATTTGGGCTGATGTTCTCAGAGGTTTTCCATGCTGGAGGTCTCTGATAGATTGTACCAGAAGTTTGTCATGAAGTAATAGTGAAAATGTTGGATTCAATATAATTTTGACAATTAGGAGACTTACTTGCGGATAATTCTTATCCTTTAAGGGAATGTGATATTTAAGCTTGCTTGGGCTGAGGACGGGGTTCTCTTGGCTTGGTGTGTCTGAGGTCCAGAGCTGGTTGTTTGAGATGCAGGGAGAGCTAAGCTTTAGTGGCTGAGATGTGCAGCTCCCAAAGCTCAAAGAGATTCCAGTAACCCTCTGGAGACCAGCATTGAGTGGAACCTCATGGATTACAGAGAGGCTTGAGTCCTCTGTGCTCTGTGTGTGGCAGGGAACCTCCCAAGACAATAAAGGAAAAATGTTAATGGAGTAAATGACATGAAGTATTTACAAATGCCTTCTATATGGGAGCTTAAAACCTCTTTTCACTCTTTCAGAAAGAAGACACAGCTCCTCCAGCAAGCCACCTTTGACTCCTCCCTCCTCTTCAGTATTTTCCCTCATTTCATCTTTCCCTTCAAAAAACAAAGGTAGCAGTGGAAGTGGGAGCAGTCGTTCATCCAGTGGAGGTACTAGTGCATCATCATCAAATTCCAAGTTGTTGAAATCACCCAAAGACAAGCTGCAGATCAGCGGAAACAACAGGTTAATGCATTCGGTACAGCACAGCAAAGTTCCCCATGACAAAATGTGAGTGTGCCTTTTGAAAGAGAGTTCAATGTCATTGCCTGCATAGACACTGCTATGTCAAGAAAGTTTCCTTTTGTTTCAGAGCATTTTTGGTTTAGAAGATAATAAGTTTAAACTCCTCCAGATCTTCACACAGCCTAGTCAAAGATTACAGTTAATGCTCATATCTGTGTTGAGGACGAACTCTTGCAAAGCTGCATCTTAAATCACCATGAATAAAGGTCATTTTACTAGAGGCTCCTAATTCTTTGATGTAATCTGCATACTTTGATCATAAGGGAGTTTTAGCTCTGATTCAGGTGATTTTCAACCTGCACATGGGGGATGACAGCAATGCTGGTGAAATTTACTGCTACAGAATGGTGCATTTCTCACTGGATGTAATGGGTCCATTGCACTTGCTTTGGACAGTTTGCAGTGATGCTCTCTGTCCATGAATGCAAATAATGGTTTCTGAACCATTCTGGACACTCTGATGTGTCAGGGAAAAAAGAACGGGAGAGATTATGGATATCATAAGAAATGTGATATTAGAAAATTAGAATTAGAAAAATAGTAGGAGGAAGGTTTACATTTATATTGCAAATAGATCAGAGTGTTGTTAAATAATAACATATTTTGGCTTATTTTTTCCCAATTTTTCTCTCTTTGTTTTTCATAAATAACAGTATGACTCCATCTGTCAAAGTGGAAAAGATTCATCCAAAGATAGATGGTGCCCAACTGAAAGCTGCTGTTGGTCCAACTTGTTCTACTACTGTGAGTTCCTCAATAAAGACTGGCCTTAATTGTCCCTCAATACCAAAGCCACCCTTGCCTTCCCCTGGACAGATACTGAATGGTAAAGGTCTTCTCTCTGTGCCTCCATTTTTGGAAAAGAAACCTGAAGAAAATACGAATAATAGGAAATTTTTACATAAAAGATTGTCAGGTAATTTTTTATTCCTATATTCCTTTTACTAGAAATATATATGTGCAAATAAGTTCAAGAAGTAAATAAAAACTCCTATAATGCTGTAAATTGTAGGAAGAGTTTTTAAATATTATAATTTAAATCTATAATTTGACAGACACTTTAAGGATACAAACACCTTGAAATTGGCTTTTCCTTTCAGAAACCTGTACAGATCTCAAATGCCTGTCAGTTCTAACAGTTTTAAAATTACACTGTTTTACTATCTCTAAAGATTTTAGTTTCCTTCTTTTTATATGGAAGTATACAAATGTACACAGAAAACACAAAAACTAGCACCTGATAAACTGAAAAACCCCAGTCTGTTCTTTACACTTTTTAAAACAATTATTTTAAGTGTTAGTAGAATGGTAGAAAAGTTCCTGACACCAAAGCCAACAAACAGGTGATCTCTGCTCCTAAAAGGGAGCATCACATCCTCCTTTGAGGACACCTACAGGTATTTGTGGACTTGAGATCTGTATTTTAGCACACCCTAAGCTTCCTGAGAGTGTAAAAAAATTCATTTGTACAATTTTAATGTGCATTTTTATTTGTATGTTTGCCTGTGTCATATTTGAAAAGTTTCCAATATGATTAATTTTTATGATGAATCTAAATGTTAGTATTTCAAAATGTCTTTTGCTAACTTTTCAATTCTGTGTCTTTGACAGAGAGAGAATTTGATCCTGATATATACTGTGGTGTCATTGATGTGGAAACCAGGAAACCTTGTACTAGGTCTTTAACATGCAAGGTAGGATATCTGAATCAGGATAAGATTATCTGAAGTTTTTATTCAAATTCTTGAGGAACATGATAAAAAACTGAGAACTGCAATTTTTTGCTGTTGGTAATTACCACTGTAAGTGGTACCTCTCAAAACGTGTTGCTCAGAACCAAGAAGAAATTGTTTTTGAAGTTCAGTTAATTATTTATTCAGGAAGCATTTCTCAAAGTAACCTGGAGATTTGTATTTTTGTATAAACCCTTCAAACATGGATCTAACATGGGACAGACTGTGTCACTCCACATGTAGGTAGCAGGGGGCAGCATTCCTCTTTTTGGGGGTAAGCTTGTGGTGGTAGATCATGATTTTAAAATTCCTCGTAAGCATTGAAAATATTGCTTGTGCAACGTTTAAATAATTCAAGCTCTTCCCTTCTCACACTCTTTCCTCTCCCCCCAGCAGTCTGCAGCAGGTTCTTGGTAGGAATTTGTGTAAATGCTAATGCTGCTGGATGCACTGCTGCAGCCAGCTCCTGAAAGAGCCATGCAGCACGCCTAGAGGTCAAACTCTAAATTAAACAATCATAAAACCTTTTGCTCTGACAAAATGTATCCTCTGGCTCCAAAACCCTGGGGGGACAGAGGGCTGTCACTTGCTCCCAAGGAAGCAAGAATCCAGATGCCCTGCACTTGTGTAATATTTTGGTGCTTTCCTGCAAAGCTGTTCTTCCCTCAGTTTGGGAAACTCTGGTAAATAAACCACCTACAGAACAAAGGTACGTGAAGCTGGCACTAATGACCCAGAGGAACTGAACTTGAACACATTGCCCTTTTGGAATTACTGAGGGGAGGAAATTGTTTTGCTAATAGAGGAGGGAAAAGCTGCAACATTTTACGAGAGAAATAGGCAAATCAAAAGTGAAAAAGAAAGAGTAAAATAATTTCTCAGTACTTCTTTAGGATATACTACTCAAAGTAATTTTTGGAATTGCTATTTGTGTCTGAATTATGTAACAAAAATTTTTACCTACTTAAAAGAACCAAATCAAACCTTTTGTGCAATATTAAAAAGGTATTGTGTGTGACTTCAACAGTTCAGAAAAATAGCTTCCATTTACTTCACCTTACTTAGAATTGGTGCTGTTTATACACATACACCTCTTACTGTCTGTAGTGTTCAGGACACTCAAAGAACTTTGAGTTCTGACTCTGGATTCTGCTGGATGTTTTGAATTCCTCAATATCTATTTGATTACATTTGTTTTCAAGGAATATGTTAGTTTATAGAAGGCAGCACAGTACTTTTCTAAATATTTTTCAAGTCTCCCATTAGAAGTCTGATTTTAAATATTATTTTGTTGAATATTTTTTGAAATGGAAGTAAATATTTTCCCTTCTTAATTTTGAAGGAGTTGGCAGTTGAAATATCAATGTAAAAAAAGGTTTTTAGTTCTAGTCTTAACCTTATTAAAAATTTGGCAGTTTGGTTTTTAAAAAGAAGTTTGAAAAAAGCCTTTTACCAGATTGCTGAGTTTGTTATTCTGTATCAGACCAAGGATATAATCATCCACCAAGCGATTTTAAAGTTTGTTTTCTAAGTCGTATTTCCATTTGTTTACTAAACCAGGACTGTGATGATTTTCTCTGTTTTGGAGCTCTTGACACATGTTTTGAGTGTTTGACTTCCACAAATGTCATAGCCTGGGATTAATGATTTATTCCTGGTTCTGCAGACACATTCCTTAACCCAGCGGAGGGCTGTACAGGGTCGAAGAAAACGATTTGATGTGTTGTTAGCTGAGCACAAAAGCAAAACCAGGGAAAAGGAACTTCTTCGACATTCGGATCATCATCAGCAGATGCCCCCTCTCAGGGAACCACATCCCTCACCTACTAAAACTTCCCAGGAGCTGCACCAAAATTCTCATGGAGTTACTCTTACAGAATCAAAGCCTTTATTACCTAATAAACCCAAACCTCACCCCCCCAGTCTTCCAAGGTAAGGAAGATCTGCAGATGCAGTGGTATGAAATGGGCACTGGGAGCTTGATGAGGTGGATTTTGAGGGAGTGATATGGATCTGTTGGATGGGGCAGTGTGTTTGCTGCAGGCCTGGTGCCTGTCTGCAATTAGCAATTACCTGCTGAGGGCAACTCCTGGCGAGGAGGGAGTAGTAAAACTACTGTTTGAGGTAGTAAAAGCTGACTGGCAATCAGTGGAAGCAGTTGAGCAACAATGGGGCAACGCTGCTTTTCCAGGGGTACCACCACACTGTCCTTGCCCTTGGCAGGTTACAAGACCGTGGACAGCACCAGGGATCTGTTAATGTGGATTTCTTTCTCTCAGCAATAATAAGCACTTAAAGGGTGGAATTTTTATGTGGACTGGGTTCAATAACACCTGGTTACTGCTTGTCTTGCCCAGGCCTCCAGGCTGTCCAGCCCAGCACAGTGGAAATGCCCCCAGTGAGTCTCCTTCTGTCCACGAGTCCCCACACCCTCCCTTGCCTGCAGCTGAGCCAGCATCTCGGTTATCCAGTGATGAGGGAGAATGTGATGAAAAAGAAGAGCCTGTTGAAAAACTGGATTGTCATTATTCAGGTCATCATCCTCAACCAGCCGCTGTACGTTTGCAAAGTTAACCTCAGTCTGTCTCTGGCTCTAATTGTGTAAACAAGCTACTTTGGGGTTTTAGGGGTGGTTTTCTGTGGCCTATGTGATACTTTTTTCTTCTTTTATTTTTTTTCCCCCTCCCTGTATTTTGAGAAAATTATTTTGTGGCCTACTAGGCAGCGAAGGTTTAACTAGTTGCAAAATAAACACGCTAAAAAAATGTGTTCATAGCTCACTTCCCCAGTCTAAAAGAAAACAAAATGCCAGAATACTAAAGATGAAATTGCTAACTGCTCTAAAGGGCTGTGGTTTTGGAATAAGTAAACAGTGTCTTTTTGGTGCAGTTTTCTTATTGGACTCCCTCCTCCACACCCACATACATTTTTTTACTCAAGTTACCAACATCATGTTAAAGATAGCAGTAAGGTATTTTAATATTTAAATTTTGACAAAAGTTAGTTAAATAACTAAAAGCAAATGTATTGCCCTGGATGTCAAATTATATTATTTTTAGAAACAGACTTCTAGCTGATAGCTAGTAGGTCCTCAGAAGCAGATGTTGCATAAATATGTGTCTGTGTGTATAATGGTTATAAGTAAACAGACATACTGCTAACCTTCTCTTTTTAATCAAAAGATTTGATTAAAGTCAAATTTGACTTCTTCTATTAAGTATGGGAGTATCAGAAGACAAGAAAATTATCTCAATATACCAAGGCCACAAATTTAAAATAGTTGTTGGACCACAGACATAAAAACTCTAATTTTTATTTTTTATCCTCTACTTAAACAGCTAAAAGCATATTTATCATAAACTGTTATTCAGAGAGTTGTCACTGAAAGTAGAAAGCACCAATAAAAATTATGTCTTTTCAGTTTTGCACATTTGGTAGTCAGCAAATTGGAAGAGGTTATTACGTCTTTGACAAGCGGTGGAACCATATTCGATGTGCACTTGACTTCATGTTGGAGAAGCATCTTAACTCACAGATGTGGAAGTGAGTAGACGTGAAAGATTCTTATTCTTCTTGGTGTTTTTAGAAGAACATGGAACCTTTTGATTCTAGTTAACAAAAGTAATCTTGTGTTCAGACTGAAGGTTGATGGTCTGTGCTTTGCATTTTTTGCAACAATTAACTATCAGTTTAATATAATCAGAGGCATTAATCAACCCAGGATACAATAATTTTAAGGTAGCATTATTAGTATATAGGGGTATTAGTCTGCAGAATGGTGGCGATGTGAGCTTTTATCTTTGTTTTCCTGTTCACCTGCAGGAAAATTCCTCCAGCATCCAGTAACACAGCATCAGTGCGTGCCCCGCATCGGACAAACGCGATGCCTGCCTCCCAGCACGGTGTCAGTGCAGCAGGGTTCCTCTTGCCCACCACGGTGATGTCATCGCCGGCGCTGGTCTCCCCCTCCTGCGTGTCTCTGAGCAGCAAAGCGGTGCCATCCCACGGGACCACGCTGACCGCCAACCCCGCTGCCGCGCTGGGGGCCGTGGATCCCGTCTGCAGTATGCAATCCAGACAAGTGTCTTCTTCCCCTTCAACACCTACAGTGCTTTCCTCTGTACCTTCACCTATGGCCAGCAAACCTCAGAAAATGAAATCCAGCAAATCTTTTAAACCTAAGGAATCTCCTGCTGGCAGTGGCACCTGTAACAGCAGCGGCAGCGTCAGTAGCAGCGGCGGCTCAGGAAAGAAGCGTAAAAACAGTTCCGCACTGCTCGCACCTTCTCATTCCACAGAGTCCTTCAGAAAAAACTGCGTGGTTAACTCTGGAAACTCTGGGACCTCCTATCATCCGTCAGTGACAGCTTCGTCCCACAGCGTTGGCCTCAACTGTATGACTAGCAAAGCTAACTCTGTTAGCCTCAAACATGACCAATCAGGGAGGGGTCCTCCAACAGGGAGCCCTGCAGAATCCATAAAGAGAATGAGTGTGATGATGAACAGCAGCGACTCCACGCTCTCCTTAGGGCCCTTTGTTCATCAGTCTAGTGAGCTGACTGTAAATTCACACAGCAGTTTTTCACATTCACATACTTCCCTTGACAAATTAATAGGAAAGAAAAGAAAGTGCTCACCTGGTTCAAGCAGCATCAACAGCAGCAGCAGCAAATCAAACAAAGTTGCCAAATTGACATCGGTGAACAATGTTCATGCAAAACACACTGGTGCAATCCCAGGGACGCAAGGACTGATGAACAACTCTCTGTTTCATCAGGTAGGAAATCTTGTCTCAAACTAAGCCAGCATGAAATGCCTCTTCACAGAATTATAATTCATGTGTTCTCTTTAATATTAAATAGATAGCCACTTCCAGATCCTGCTCAAGTAAAAGGTAGTTCTTCTCTTTGTCCAGTACTCATTTTGAGTGTTCTTATGGTACATTTACTCAAGACTTTTATAAATGCTCTAAATAAAAAAGCTACACTTTAGGAAAGAAACCTTCAATGGGATATTTCAAATTCTTTAGATGCTGTTGCCTGTGAATTGCTTTCAGATAAAATTCATTCCTCTTATTTTATAATTTTAAAAGTGGTTTAAAATCTTGCCAGCCTGCCGTGGAGCTGAGCTGTGTGCCTCAGTCTGACTCCTTGTTTCTGTGTCAGGAATAAACATTCTACAAAGTGGAACATACTGATGCTGATAACAGAACTGTGATAAAATAAGCCTATTATCCCAAGATGTCATTGACTAACTTCTTAGTAATAATGAAATTAAATGTAATAAATCAGATAATAAACCTTTTTAGTTGGTAAGGCAAATAGATATGCTATAAAGGAAGCAGATCTCATGAGTATGTAAGATCCCATTTCAAAAATTAGTTTGGAGTTTTGGGGTTTTTTAAAAATATATCTCACTGGAAAAGTAGGGTGTTCAGGATCAAAAATCCAAGAAACTTGGTTTCCTCTGCTGCTAAAAACTGAAATCTCTGTAGCTGGAGAGTCAGGAGGTCAGTAGGAACTTTTTGAGGGTGTTTTCTTAATTTTCAGTTTCAGCCACAGAGGAAGATTTTCACCTTTTTCTGTGTTTACTTAAGAAAAAAGCCTTCAGATGGCTGAATTTATTTTTGGACTTACCTAATAATTACTATTTCAAATATGCAATATAAGTAAAGAAGAAATATAATTTGAGTGAAATAAGAAGGAAAGCATGCTTGAAACTATTATAACTTTGAAGAGGTTTAGTTGAGGATTTTCAAGTCTCAGAGAGGCCATCCTCGTGTTATCAAGGTTGCTTTTTGCTTGAGATTTTTCCCCCAGATATGCTCTTGTTAGCCACAAAATAATGTGTTTTCAGTGCCTCCACTGATGGTTCTCTCCTTTCTTGCCCCCAAGCCGAAGGCCCGTCCCTGATAGCTGAGAGCACCACGGTGAGAAACAAACTGGACAGTTTTCACTACAAGCAAAACCTCCATCTGGATTTCTGGACTCCAAGATGCCTTGAGTTTTCCCAACTTCCCATGGTCCTCAGGTGTGGAAATCTACTGGACTGTCACTTAAACAAGGAATTTCCCTGAAGCCATGTCTGTAGCAGTGAATATACTAGAAATGGACACTGGATGAAGTTCAGCCACATAATTGCTCTTATCAGTGTTAACAGTGGTCTGGACTGTTTGCTACAAATCTGTGAGATTTTCCTTACAGGAGTACATCATCTTGCCACTATTTGACATAGTTTGGCTGGGCAAACGAATGTTTTCTGGGGGGAAATAAACATTACTGTGGACTTATTTTTATACTGATGGTGTCTTTTGTAGGTGATAGCTAACCAGACAGACACCCTCAATGGGGAGGACCCCGTGACAAGGGGAAAAATGTGTGAGGCACAATGGAAAGAAGCCCTCAAGAAGGGAATATGGCTTTAGTGTTTTTATAGCAATGTTCCTTTAATGGAATATAAAAAATAGCACAATTCAAAAAATAGTCTGTTTTGCCCAGCCTTTTGCAGGTAATTTGGGATAAGAAGCTATCAGGAGTTTAAAACAAAACAAACCCAACAAAACCAGAAAAACTTGTTTGAGGCCACTGCTCAGAAAACAAGTATAAAAATGCCGTATTTATGTGATATGAAACCTATTTTCTATTCTTTTGAATGAGATTTTATTGTGGAAGAAACTTAATTTTGTTCTTTAAAAATTCCAAAAATATCAAACAGACAAAGGCAAATAACCTCTAAAACTCTATGCCCAAAGAACCTATTTATTGACCTATACTGTATACCACAGGCCTTTGTTTTTTTTAAAAGAAAAACTGTATTGATGAAATTAGGCTGGATTTGTCTTCCTCTTCCAGCACATGAAGTTAGCCCTTTTAAAAATGAGTTTTTAAGATATTTAACTATTTTCTAATAACCATAAAAGTCAGTTTCTTTCTGCCTTGTTTGTGTAACAAAATTGTTGATGTGTGACATCTTCTACCACTCAGTAAGATTTTATTTTTTTTCCTAGTCAAAATTCTGGAATAAATGCCAATTTGACAGCAGAGTTCACTGTGAAGCACTGGTTTGGGCATCACAGTCATCCCAGGCCCACCCAAGCTTTATGAGCATGGGGGGCTTTACAGTTTTGTATAATCCAGCCAATTTTTATGAAATATTTTGTCTTGCTTCAAAACACCTCAAAAATTAATTCCGCCAAAGGGCTCATTGTGTTATGGTTTGACTCATCTGGATGCTTTTGTTAAGTTTTTAAACATCAGGTAAAGGCTCAAAACTGACTATACTTTTATTAAGGGGGCAAAGCAAAGGAAGATGAAATCCTAACAAAGAAGATTTTTATTTTCTGCCTTAAAGGGGCATCAGCTATTGCTGAGAAGAGACAATCTGAGCCTGTCCAGCTGTTCACATAGCCCAGCCTTCTCCCCATTCTGGTGGCAAGTAGTAAGTACATCAGGGAATCCAAAGCCACTCTGAGTAGCAGTTGCTTAGTTGTTTACCTAACAATGCTTTCAGTTTCTCCTGAACTTCCTATGAAATCATTGTTATACAGCAAAACAACAAGAAGCCTCTATGCAGACACTTTAGCTTTGAATTGATACAAAAGATCACACTGAGAAAGCAATGTACTAGAGACTCTTATTATGCAAACTTTAAAAAAAAAAAAGTAGACAACTTTTCAGGAACAAAAGGATTTGTATTTAATAGGATACCCTGTTGAAAGGATTGTTAGAACTGCAGTTGGTTTAATGTAAAAGGAACCAAAGCAAAATGCCACAAAAAGAAATCCAAGTGTATCAAATCCTGCACGTTTGGAGAGAAATCCATGCTCTGATGAAAGTCCCTGGGGCAGAGCTTCCACTTCAGGATAGCATCAGTCACAAGTGCAATTTGACTCTTGGTAGAAACAAAGGTGTAAAGGAAACAAAAATTTGGCAAGATTGGACACTGGTGAGTTTGTGATTGAACTGTCCTCTGGTTTTTAAGGTTCTGTTGATCTGAAAGCAAAATGGCAAATTTGTGCTCCTTCAGTAGCATGCAGATGTACAAAGTGAATTCCTGATGGCTGCTCCTCCAGAGCCATGGGTGCAGCCCCCTGCACCATGTGGGCTTGAGCCACTGGAGCAGAGAGTCTGAGCATAAATTCTGCCTGCCCTAGACCTGCTCTAAGTATTATGTTTTAGATCTTGGTTATAAGCAGAACATTGTTCCTGAAGCTTTTATTGTCACATAGTTCTTACTGTAAATAATTAAGGAAGCTTAAAATTAATTTTCCTTGCAAAATTGAATTTGCAGTGGCTGGGTTGTTTCTAGACAGATTTTGGTATTAATTTAAGAGATACAGTTTTTATAGTCTTTCCAACTTCTCGTTATGACTCCTGCAGTTTTCTTAACCTAAAAAATTGCTGCAATGATGAACAAAGAATTATACAAGAAAAAAAACATACTTTTGTATCTTTATTTTGGAATTTCTTGTTCTATTATAAATATTGAAGTATCCCTATTTCAGAAGACATATTTTGTTAATTGATTGTACATATTTAAATATGTATTTTTGCACAGGTCTTTTTTTCTTATATCCAGTTTTGGTACAATTGAGATCATCTAGTATTTATTTATTAATTAATTAAAAAAAAAAAAAGCAAATACCTTTTTATAATTTGAAGTGGTTCACTGCCAAGCCAATAGTTAACATGCCTACTTTGCAACGTAAGGGATGCCTCCGTTTTGTGAAAGCCGTGTCCCTTTTCCCTGTCCTGGGAGCGGGCGGATCCGCGCCGAGCCCGGAGCCCTCGTGGCTGGTGTGGCATTGCTGATCAGCTGCCTGGCTCCCAGCACATCCATTAGTTCAGTGACACTCTGCTTCTCCTTTCTAGTGTTGGTGTGCGTGTGTGTGCGTGCGCATCCGTGTGGGTCTCATGTGGTTTAAAACTAACGGAAAAACTGAAAGTGCCTGATAAAACTAGTTTTAAGCTTGGACTGTTTAGACAGCTTCTCCTTAAAAGACTTGAATGTTCAGTTGAAATTTTGGAGCTTGCTTTTTCCACCTATATATAATGTATATGTGTGTGTGTGTGTGTATACACACGCATGCATATATCTGTATATCTGAAATTAATGAGATGGGTTGACAAAAGAAAGCAAATTATGCTGGTAGCTTTTGTAAAATCTTTTAATTTGAGTACCTTATGTTGGAACAATCCCATTGATAACTCATATTTAGTATAATGCCAAGAGTTTGAAATATGGTTTTAACCAGCATTTTATTTAACTGTCTCATTTTGGGAAGGGGGGGAGCAATATACATTAGTCAAATAATTTAGAAAATGTTCCAAATTTTTGGTATTCCAAAACAAAGAAAAAACCCCAAGTAAGTACCTCTTAAAACCATGAAAAAAATAAAGATGTGATTTCCAGATGACATTTCTAAGGCAGTTGTCTTCCTGTAAGAGTTCTCTTGCCAAGGAATCTCTCGTCTTTTACTCATTCTGTCCTGGAGGAGGGAATTGGGCTTAGAAAGATTCTTAAATGTTTCACTGTTCAGCAGAAAATAATCATTTTTACCTTTTGTGCGAGATATTTTATGTTTTAAAGATAATTTTGAAATGAGCACTACATAATGTCAATGTGAATGTAGGCCTTGGAAGCATCTTGCTCGGTGTTGAGCCTGGTTCTAAAAGCAATCTCCTGTGTAAAATGTGTGAATAGTTTGATAATTTGTATACATAATCAAGAGCATCTGATCAGCTGAACTCTGTGTTGGCTGCTGTATAGTACATGAACAAATGTCATGGGATAGAAAAATTACTTTGGATATTTAAAAGAAAAATAAATATATAGTCTATTTGTTTTGTAACAAGTTTCTGTAAATAAAATAATTTATACTATTTATAAGAAAAAGTTGTGCTTTGCTTCATGAAAAAGATTAGTTTGTTGAACAAACATGTTACTAAACAAGGCAATAAAATTAGGACTTTTCAATAAATGAGGTTGGTTGCATGGAATATATTATATGTTTCTGCTTCATTATAAAATCCTTCGCTATTAAAGGAAAACATTATCTGTATCAGTGCCTATGTGAACTAATTTCAGAGAATTGGATGTGGTCAAATTCTGTCATTGTCCCTCAGCATTGTGAGTCAGCCTGGTAGGTTTGGAGCTTTCCACCCTACAGGGGCTGGTACCTGGTTTGGAGCAGTGCCTGTGTCACCTCTGCAGCATTTTCCTTCTGTGCAAAGGATCTTCTCTTAATTAAGGTTCACACTTTATATGATTTTCTAATCAGAATAATGAGCAGCAGCCTTTACTGCCCCAGGTGTGGTTTTGTTGAGTCGTCGTGTTTCCTGGATTTTTTTTTTTCCTCCTGAAAAATGTCTTCTGTGTTTTCACAGTTTGAAGATCCAGTGTGTGGATTCAGCAGGTTAAACACTCCTGCAGGGCTTTTCTCTGCACGTGACTCGGGACTCGTGTGTCGTGGGTGATTTCAGAGCACTTTGTAAAACCGGTAAAACTCCTGTTAGTGGAACAGGACTTCACAGTGACATCTGTGGCAAAGCTTCCTTTATTCTGTCTCTATTTTATTTTGGTTTGGGTTTTTTTCCCCCTCTTAAAAAAAGTTTTTCTTAATATTTGGAATAAATGCTGCAAGATACAAACGGGGTTCAGACAACAGGCAAGTTCTGCTTTGTCTTTTTATAATAAGCACCTCAAGTAGTTCTGTTTACTTTCTGCGTTACTCAGTATTTTAATTTCTTTTTTTGTCTTGCCTTCTTGCAAACCCTTTTCCTTCCTAGTAGCAATTTTTGCCACCTGTGCCACCCTGCACGAGCTGCTGGTTCTGCAGAGCTGTACCGGTGACCACAGCCCGGAGTTCGGCGTTTGCACCGAGCAGAGCTCTGTGCTTGGCATCGTGTTCAGGCAGGTTCGTGACTCTGCTTCAACACTGAGGGAATAACTGCATTTTACTGCATTTAATACAGCTTCAGTGTCCTCTGAAACTGGCAAGGTGAAGAAAGGAGATGAAGGTGCGTTCACCCTGTGTAACCCTGAGCTCTGTGGAATTGGAGCATTCTCCCTCTCCCCTTCCTTTGCTGCATTTGGTGCCGTGCAGTGCCAGGGAGCCCTGACCTGGCCAGAGCAGAGCTCCTCCTTGGGTTCTCTCTTCTGGTGGCTGTTCACTAAAGGATTTAGTGATGAAAAATGGTTCTGACCAGGTGCTGAAGTGGAACCCAGTAAGCACAGATGTCCCTGAAGCAGGTGGAAAAGTTTCCCTCCATCAGCGAGTGCCTCATAGGAAAACACTCCAGTTTATATTCGGGACAGATACTTGATGATGTAGGAAACTGCCATTGCATGCAATGAAAGGCCAGGGTCAGAGGTTCCCTGTGTGTAGGGTTTGTGTATCTGTACATCTCGTCAGTGCCCTTTGCACTCAGTATCAGCTGGGAGCTGTGAAGCTGTCTGGCTCTCCCGGTGCAGCAGCGCTGGCTCAAGGCTGCAGCCGTGCCGGGCTGTGCGGCTCGGGATGAGGGGTGGGGAGCTGGCCCGGTGCCCTCAGGCTCTCCCAGCGCCTTCTTCACACCGACTACAAACAACCCAAAGGAGGGCTTGCCCTGGCTTTTTAAAATGCAAATTCCTGTTGGTGCATTATTATCACGTTCTGCTGCAACAAATAATCAAACACATGTGGCTTGTAGGATCCACCATGGGACTTTTTATTTTGACTGGATGCTTTTTTCAGTGCGTTGGCTCAGAGCTGTGTTAGCCCCTGGACTCGTTCCTAACAAGCAGCATGGGAGCTTTGTCATGGAAAAGTGACATATGCTTGGGGTTTTTTCTGACCCAACAAACTTCAAAAACCTTTAAGGAACTTGTTCAAGCTAATGTGGATTGAAACTTTATTGCCAAGGAGGGAAAACAGCCTGAGAAATGAAGTAAAAAAGCTTTGTCTAAGCCCATGAGAAATAGCTGGTGTTGATATTTGTGCCCCAATTGATACAAAAGTTTTCTTCAGCATCAGCAGGGACTGTGTTGCTGCTTGGGTTTGGTGGTCTCTGACAATGCTGGAAGTTTTTAGTCCTCCACTTTGCAGTTTAGGTCCCTTCACCTGAGTACTTTCCTGTCCATAACAGGTGACTTTTTCCTAAAGCCAGTGCCTTGTCCCTTGCCTGCAAGGCTGGACCTTGAGCTCTGGAGCCCAGTGTTCAGTGAGAGAAGCACCAAAGGTGTTGGCAGGTGAGCCAGAAACTGCACAGAAATGACATTTCACCTGTTTTGTAGCACAGCTTTACTGATAAATCCTAAACCCCCCATGCCCTGCCCTTCCCACCTGCTCTCCCACCATTAATGCAGGGAATGAACTGCAGAGAGAAGTTCAAGCTGTGGCTTGAAATCTCTGTGTGGTTCTGGCTGCCTTGTAGAGAGGGTGAAGTCAGCCTTGCAAAGCGAAATTGGAGAATGGCATTAGCTCAAGGAACTGCCCAAGCTTAAATTACAAGAGAGAATGTACAACTTTGGCATGTGGACTATAAATCCATGGAAAGGTGTCAAAAGCGACGAAGGCCTGTGTCTGGAGTGCTGCTGACAATCAGAGTTAAATAAAGGGAAATGATGAGATCAGATAAACAGAATATAAAACTAACATCATCATGGGACAGTAAAAATCAACTGGAAATTACTTCAGGAAGTAGACATTCTAATGCTTCTGATTTGACATAGAGATGGAAGAAGGTATTTTAGAACAGACAAAATTATGCCCTTGATCAGGTCAAGATCTGACCACCCTGGACCCCTCAGCATTCCTACTCTTTGGAAAACCTGTGTATCAGATTGCTTTTTTTTATTCAGAACAATGTGAGCAGCCACGCTGGCTAAACTGTATGCCTCCAGCTGTGGGCTTCAGGAGGTGCTGCCTTTCACCTCTCCCAGAATTTTATCCCATCACTATCTGGCACGGCTGAGAGCCTGAACTGCTGCACAAAGCCTTAAAAGGTTCAGCTAAAATTGCTGTGACTCTTTCCTGCCAGGCTGTGGCACAAAAATCTTTGTCCAAAAGATTTCTCTTCTTTAAAGGGGGCCTTTGCTATAGTGGGATTGTGTACTTCTGCTTGGAACATTATTTTTCACCCACCTGAGCAGAGAACACCAGATTCTGAAGTGCTTGGTTCCCACAGGATGATGGCCAAGGTTAGGATAAAATAACTGATAGCTCTGCAAGTATCTTAGAGCACTAAAACTCTCTAGCAATGCTTTTATTTTCTACACAGAGTGGGGATTTCCATTTCTTTTTCTGCTGCTCTACACTAAGAGAGCAGCAAGATGTCTCTAGGATGCATGAAGCCTCTGTCAGCCAGATTTTTCTTGAGTAGGTTTCTATTCTCTTTACAGTTAAAGAAATACATGGTAATACATATGCTGAATGGAAACTTTGATGTAGTTGATTAAGGCCACTTCATGTATAAATATGCTGGAAAGGAAAATTTATTTATGCACCAAACAGAAATTCCTCAAGTCAGTGAAGACATGAATACAGTATGGTTTTCTGATAGGCTTCACATCTGCACCTATGGAAGGTGGAGATACTCCCAAAAGTCAGACTGATTAAAGCCTTCCTAGCTACCTCTACTTATCTGGAATGGAACAGATGGAGAAAAACAAGAGGTTATTGCAGGTCTGAAAACTCTGACTATTGGGTTTTATCAATTAAAACTTAATAGGAAATTTTATCTATGTGAACACACAAAACAGACTCAGAGCTGAACAAATGGTAAATTAGAGTTCTTGTTTATTACTCTGCCTAATCTGAAGAAGGATCAGAATTTTCTTCTAATTAGCACTGTCTGAAATGTAAATCTTTAAACTCTGGCTAAATAGCTGCTTCTTGGAGGGGGAAACAACTAAAACAGCTTCCAGTAAGTAGCAAAAAAACCCCAAAATCATGAGGTGGTATTTTGGGCTTCACAAAAGTTCATCAGAGAGTAGAAATGGCCCCTCAGCACCAAGGGGTCCAACCTCAGGCAGGCAGCAGCAATCCCAGCACAGGAGATCCTCTATGACCTTGCAGTGGGAGGGGTGGGCAGGGGAAATTCCAAGCTGTCCTGTCTGTGGCACAGTGGCTTCCAAAAGCTAGGACTGCTCTTTGGGTACACCTGCTGCTGGGGTTCCTTCCAGCACTGCAGCTGCACTGCATACAGGCTGTAAATGTCCCAAATGCAGTGGCATCAAAAGCTCACAGAACTCACTCACAGCCCTTCTTTGGGAGGAGAGAAAAAACCCCTCAAGGCAGGCCAGCAGGGTAACAGCTGCCCTGGAGCTCTGCCACCCAGGAGCCATGTGTCATCAGCATGGCAGCAGCCTGGTGAGACACTCCTTCCTCAGCAGCTGGGAGGAAAGGAGCTGTCAGCCCTGCAGTACCTGATCAGCTCTTAGACTGCAGTAGTCCCTCCCACAGCTCCCACCATCACTGACATCTGCAGATCTAACTCAGGCAACAATTACAAATTTAATGCTTTGCTCACATGTTGGCTTCCTTTTCAATAGTTTGCAAAAAAAAATAGTTTAAAGAGAGAAGCTACTTCTGTTCCAGTTCTTCCCAAAGTTTTAGTCCTGCAGTTTCTGTGGTTGTATCATTGCTTCACCCCAATCACTTGCATCCTTATTCCTTCTCCCTTAAGCTGTAATCCCTTCACTGCAAGACCCCCTCCTCTCTGGACAGTGTGCACTCTTCAGTAAAATTTCTGGCCACTTTACTCTTATGCAACTGATTGTTTTCACCCCTGATTCCAATATGAAAGTCTTAAAACAGCACGCATGAAGTGGCCATGAGCTCTCTGTGTGCTGCTCAACATGGAACACTGGATATACAGGCAAGGAAAGGAAAAAGGTCTGTTACAAGAGATCACCAACAGTATCATACATTTAATAAATGAACTGGGTTTCATACACCAGAACAGAACAGTGTGTACATAATGAAGTGGAAAGTAAAAACACTACCTTTCTTGCTAGTTATTTTTTTCCCTACAGTATACCAAGTTATGCAATATATTTATAGGTTACTTCCAAAATGTTTTAAACATCTGAATTTTGCATTCCCTTGCATTAAAAAAATTACATATTAATTACTCGGGAAAGTTTCTGAATTCTGTTTAGCAGCAAATCTCCTTTCTTGATGGTTTCTTGGTACTGCCAATTCTTGCTATCAGGCCTAGGAATTGTGGGGGAAAAAAACAGGGGGTTAGAACTGAGAATAGGATTTATACCAAAGCATTAAACATTTCTGTAGTAAATGTCATCAAAATAGATGTAATTCAACTGGTCTGTTAAAAACAACCTCTAGGGATTGTTACATACCTGTTAGTTTCTACAATCTCGTTTACTTTGTCTATTTTGCAGTGCAATCGCCCAGCTGCAATAAATCTTGAAAGCTCCCTAAATAAAGAAAGAAAGTTTGTTAAATCCTCTTTCACCAGGGACTTGCAGACCGAGGAGCAATGAAAATGCTGTTACTCCATGCTGTACTTCTGAAGCCACAGCCTATGGATCTTCATCAGGTATCTTATGCATCCTCATCTTATTAAGGCTTGGACATTGCACCCAAAAATAATCCTTTTAGTGACCTGAACACAAAACCTCTTAGTTCTTTCTCCTCAGGCCAGTGTTGTACTTGAGTTAGAGAAACTTAGCACTGAGCTTTGTATCAACTACTCTCCAAAGGCAGCAGTAATGCAGAGTGGAATTTGGAATTTATCCTGAGGTAAGTATCTTCATGGCAGCCAATTAATTAGAAAAGTATCTCAAAAATATTTAATTTTTTTAAATGCTTTAAAAATTTTTATTATTATTGTTTTGTTTAACCAACTGGTGTTCTACAGTCCTGATGGTAGAAGAAAATATTCCTCTGTTCAACAGTAAGGTAAGTTAAAACTCATAATAAATTACTGGAAAGCACAAGCTTAAAACCTATGACTTAAAAAAAATTACTTTTGAATTAAATGGTATTTGGTTTCTCTTGAAACACGTATTAATTTTAATTTCTAAATATTTCAAGCAGTTTCATGTTTTTGTAAGTTTTTTATATTAGAAAATCTGAAACCTCTCTGAAACAAGAATAAGTCTTGTGAAGGCATTTGGAAATAATGTGCTTCCTGTACACAGAGTAGAAATCAGTTTCTCACTTCATTCACCACTTAGTTCTTATCATGATCCAAATCTGTTGGTTTTATTCTAGAAAATAATTTCAAATTGGGACTGCAGAGTATGTTTGATTTAAGTGAAAAACATCAGATCCTGTCCACATAACAGAAACCAAGCAAAATGAGAGAGTGAGACTGGCAGAGTACAAAAAATGTGCAGATCCCCAACATTGGAACAGCTCAGTTTTTGCATAGCTGTGAACTAAGCTGTCTAAAATCTAAAGTTCCATAGCACATGGAGGTAAATAAATACAGCAATAAAAAGAACAACAAAGTAATTTATAAAATACCAGTTTTTCACACTCCCATAGAAAATGTAACTTGGCATATTTAGAATACAAGCGAACGAAGATTTTTACTCATAATGAGATCACCATAAATATTAAAAAGGTAAAAAGGGAGATGTCTATGAACTGGAAAAGCCAGAGAACTTACTGATCTATGAATTCTACACTGACTCCAAAGGCTTCTGCCATGTACCCTAACGTTAGGGACCGGTAGGACTCGAGGAGCTGGCTGTAGGCGTGGATCCGCATCTCCCGCACGTAGTACCGGTAGTGAGGGGCAAACAGCCAGTCCTTCTTCATCTCCTGCTCTACAACAGCTGAAAAGGAAAAGAAAGGAAAGTAAATAAAAGAAGGCAGTAATTTCTAAGAAATTTCATACATCAGTTATGTAAATAAAACACACGGCACCAGTTAATAAGTGTAACCATAACTATGTTGTGTTCTTGCACTCCTCAGGATAGGAAAGGGATTCTGCACTAACAGAAGCAAATTCATGTAATCTGTGTCAGTTCTGCAACCAGGAGTGTAAGAACATGCACACAATATTGTGGCAGAGCCAATGGGAGCCTGTAAAAATGCACCCTTCTTTCAGAGGGAGAGGGACCACCTCGCTGAAGGCAAGGGCTGGATCTGCTGCCCGCAGAGCTGGGTAACAAGCAGACTCGGTTTGTAACTCCTTGAGGAAACATTGTTACCCACACCTGTATAAGGACATAACATAAATTTTCTGCTACTAGCTCTTACATTAGTTACAAGGATTTCCAGGCACTGAAGTGATTTTTTTCCCCTGACAGCATCAGTTCTTGGCTTGGGATGAGGCTGGCAAAAGGAAGATGCTGCCCTTTAACTCAGTCTCATCAGGCCTAGACTTCAAGGGTTCTTCCTTGATTTCTCTAAATATCTCATTGTCTTGTATTCTCTCACAGAAGAAAAACAAGCAGTCTGAGAACAGGCAAGAATGAGGGTTTTCTGAACAGCTTTTCTTTGGTGTCACCCTTTTACACAGAAAGCTTTCAAATCTTTCCTGATCTGGCTCTTTAGGTAAGATGGTGTTTCACAGCCATTTTCAAAGTGCTTTTTCACCTAATCAGATGTGACCTTTCACAAGGCTCACTGGATGAGAAATTTGTTTTTCTTTGAAAAATCAAAGCAGAAAATTTTAGGTCACTGTTAAAAAATCTCTGTAGTTTGTTTTTTCTGCACATAGCTCTAGTTTTAGACTGTAGCTACTGCACAAAAGTTATGTACGATCTGAAACAAGTAACTGAATCCCCTGAAACAGTGTTGAGGGACACAACCCCGCCTTACCTAGCGACTGGAAAAAGGCTGCATATCGACACTCGTAGAGAGAGAAGAGATACTGCCTTACAGCTGGCAAACTGTGCAAGGCTTCCAGGATCTCTGCTCCTTTAATCACCTGAAAGCAAACACACACCTTTAACCACCATCCCCTTCAGCCTCGAGATGAGCAGGTTAAGGCCAGGCTCTGCAGTTTGCAGCAGTTTTTCCACCTGCTCTCCTTACCTTCTCCCTCAGGTCCGGCCTGTCCAGGGCAATCATGCTGACATAGACAGTGTATGTTACAAAGGTTTTGTAATCCATCAGTTCATAGGAGGTAAATGTGGAAACTGTATCAAGGAAGAGCTCTGCTGCTTGTTTGAAGTCTCGAATGGCTACACAGTAAAGGCCCTGGTACACCTTGAGACGGTTTCTTCTGTCCCAGTCTCCTCCTTCTTCTATTAGACTTAAAATAGAACAAGAATATTTACTCATGTAAATGTGTCGTGTAATAAGTTATATGAAACAAGCACTAATCAACTGATACCATGAGATTAGAG